AACTATGGATTGAAGCACAGAGTGATACAAACTTTAATTAGCTGATGATGAGAAATTGAGAAAATATAGAGAAAAATATACATGCACTAATTCATGATGTGCAGTTTACTTTTCTCGAAACATTTTTGGAAATCTTCTCTGAAAAATTAGTACTTTATACCGTCTTTAGTTAATAGGATTATTCAATAACAAAATTGAATGACATCTTCTACATTTCTTTCACTTATTGACTTTTTTCATTTTTATTCTTCGAACGCTGAGAAGTGTTCGTAAATGAATATTTTTGATAGTAAAAAGCTCGTAAGACAATGACCAATGGATCAATCTTTCTATATTAACCTCAAATTTGTATAGAATCTAATACGAGTTATATACTTTCATTCTATTTCATCACAGAAGCATGTACAACATGGGGAAGCAATCGCTTCCTCTTGCATTGCTGGTGCACCCGTCCATGGATATGAAACTTGTATATTTTTATATTTGTTATTTAAAAAGCATATCTCGATTACTTGTTGGTCGGGAAGACGTCGCTCTCTGTCAATAATGATGTGATGACCAGAAATAATCAGTTTTGATACAGATAAGACCAACTTGAAGTCGAACACATCCCAAGATCAGGCTCACTTGAGTTCTCAAACTAAAAACGATTAAATGGAGTCGAATTAGAGAAATGTCATAGCTCATATGTAGAAAAAAAAATTTAAAAATTAATTATATTACATATTCAAACAGTGCTTCCGGCATATGCTAAATACTTTACTCTAGCGTGAGAATGACGAAAGACAGTTAGTCAGTGGCATAAATGAAGTTATCCAACTTTGTTGAGATTTTCTCTTTTTTTGTTTTCTTTATTGAGGTGAGTTGAAAATTTTATAGCTATCTGCTGAAGAGAACTCACTACCTTCAGAAAGTAATTGCTTGAATTTCAGTTAATCTACTCCCTTTTACACTGAAAGAAAATACGTTGCATATATATTACTTACCTAGAGCATACACGTGCTTTCTAAGTGTTGTACAATACATTTTCACGAATCGATTCCATTTATTTGTTTTTATCCTGAAAATTCAAGTGAATTAGATCTTCCAATTTGTTCGACTTGGAGTTAGTTTCATCTATATCGAAATCATTGACACTATTTATTGGACGAGTATTGGCTGAGATGGGTGAGTTTGTGGGAAATATAATTTTACCACAAAATCGAATATCCCATCATATGTTAAGTACAAAACTATTTGAATACAAATGCTGATTCACTTGAGTTTTGCCGAGTATTACCAACAATTAATACTTAATGTGATTCACTTAGCTCGAAACAAAAGTCAATGTCCCATATCCTATCGGGTTGATGGAAGCATTTTGAATGTCCTGCATTGAACGACGGCTTATGTCATGTTTATGCAAATTTTTCTTCGTGAACGAGTTTTATGTTTCAGATTGTTTTCTTTACGGTCTTTTATGGCGACAAAAGTAACCAATGCTTCAACTAAAGGAAAACGGAAGTTAGCACTGGTAATCGGAATTGGTGAATATGAAAACATCACAAATCTGTGTAATCCAGAAAACGACGCCAACGGCATGTCATCTGCACTTAAAGAGGTCAGCTTTTCTGTTACAACGGAATTACATCTGACGCACAGTGGCATGAAAACTGTTTTTCAAAAGTTTGAAGATTCAATTCAGCCCGGTGACATGGTTTTATTTTATTTTGCCGGACATGGTATGCAATGGCGAGTACGTAGCTAAAGGAAAAATGTGAAGTTAACTGAACTTATTGTGAGAGTTTTTGCGTGATTTTTGAAGGATGCAAATTATTTGTTACCAAAGGAATTTTCACAAAAACATGATGTTGACTTGGACAAATATGCGATTAATGTACAAGAATTCCTGTATGATTTAGGCGATCGAAGACCATCTGCAACAATATTTTTGTTGGATTGTTGTAGAACATATCACCTATCTAATTTCAAATTAGAAGAGCCAGCTCTGAATCAAAGTAGTTCCAGATCGGATGACTTCAAGCCTATGCACATGGCGGGCGCACTGATTGGATTCGCTTGCGCTCCAGGAACCAAAGCCTTTGAAGGAGACGAACAAAGTAACGGTTTATTTACAAAAAATCTTCTGAAACACATCAAAACTCCAAACGAAGATATTCAAATGATACTACGCGACGTCAGAAGAGAAGTGATGGAAGAGTCAAAATCAAGACAGATTCCTTTTCTAAGCGATGGATTATTAGAAAAAAATGTATGCTTGTATGGTCAATCACGCTGTAAGCAATGAATACAAAGTCCCGTTTATTTGAATTATAGAGCATGTTACTTAATTAACACGAAGTCTCTAGTATTATCTGTGTCTGGTTAGAGATGAAACCGGTCTATCGCTCATAGACCAGTCTTAGTTCTGTACTGAATACTTCTAGGTAGAAGTCCTGATCGATGTGAAGTTAATACGACATGGAGCTACCACGATGGATTTAGGTTAGTTTGGAATCCTCGAGAGTAGGATTCAGAGGCATAGGATTCGTTTGAGAGTGTAGGGTATGTCTTTTTTGAGCGCCCTCATGGGGATCCTATGCCTCTAGATCCCACTGTCGTCGATTCCAAACTTGTCTAAATTCGTCGTGCTAGCTTGACATCGATGAAATATTCTGTTGTGAAATCTTGATATTGAATATAGCTGAAATTCGAATAGTCGGTTAGTTCACATCAATTTACCGATCGATCTACCGATTTTATCTTTGTTCTTTGATCTAATTACTATAGTTTCAATGTAGAACTCAAAACAGAGCAGTAATTGAAATAGTTCTTTGCAAAAATACTTGTTCGAGTTTGAAGCTGTGAACTCGTTCAAGAAGTTATGTATGTGCTCAATATGCATTGTAATCAAATGAGCTAATGCCGATAACTTAAATGCGTTGCGAATAGAGTCCGGCGTGACCGCCGTGACTCCCGTAAGTCACAGTCACGGGCGATCGTGGGTGAAAATTGGCACCAATCTAGTATTTCGTTCTAGATGAATAGGATTACTCAGAATTGAAATAATTTCGTAAGACTCGCTCGTTTCGATAATGTATACAGCTGTTTCTAAAGTAAAATGATTACACTTAAATGTGAAATCAATGTGAAAACATATATTATAATAAATAGAAAACATCACAATAACGAGAAAATACAAAAACGCATACTTTTCTTATGACTACATGTAAACGACAATCCTTTCATGTGTTACTTTTACTTTAAAACAGTGCAGTTTAACGAAGATTCTAGTTTTATAGGTCAATGTTACCAGTATCAAAATTCGTTTACTTTTATTTTTGTTCGAATAATTGTTGATTGAATTTTTTAATTACTCATTTCATTTGCGTTTTTTTTCTATGTGATTCACATTCATATATATATTTTTGCTAAATATGCGCTTCAAAATATTAAGATTCTTTTTCAATAAAGAAAGACGATCAATTTTTTCTACGACTAAGTCTGTTCTTCTCTCGGTAATCAAAGCTTTCGGTTTAGAAAATAAACGCTCAACACTTGTATGTAACGCGAGTATCGCTGAAGCATTTCATGCTAACGCGGTCATGGTCGAAATTACGTTTTGGTGTTGAGATCAAAGGTCAAAAATACTATCACTTTCATCATCATCTAATGCTGACGTGGATGATAGTCAATGAACTAAATTTATCCATAGGTGTTGTTGAAGACCTTAGTATATCGTAACATAATTATAAAAGAATTCTTCTTTTTTTTCTGACATTTTTCTTCTAAAGATATGGCTAGTAGTATAGTTGCATAGTTTGGTCTGCTGAAAACTGATTGAAATAAATTCACAAATGGTGACGATGTACATATTGATGATGATGAAGATCCTAATGTAGATGATGACGATTGATTTTTTTGTAAACATTGAATTTCAACGTGAGGTAATTCATTTGTTTTTTATTTAAAAAAAGAAAATTGTCGAAATTCTTTATCTGAGGACGTACTATAGTAGCAAGAAGATGAACATCGTGTGCACTGTAAAAAATAGGTTTTTTACCGAACCTGTACCCACGATAAGAACCATTAGAGCTTTGTATGGATCTAATAAACCAAAATAGTTTCGCAAGAAATTTGCCGACTACTTTCTAGGTTCGGCAGATCCATACGAAACTCTAATGACTCTTATCATGGGCACAGGTTCCGTAAAACAAACCTACTTTTTTACAGTGTGGTACCCATGCTGTAATTATTTGATATTCTCAATGAAAATGAAATTGTTAGTTGCTATACCTATAAAGGTTTTCAAATGCATCAAGTTATCATCATGAGTAGTTGATATAGAACAATTATCGAACAAATCGTAAATGATTGAAAAATGTTCCCGTGACCGTGACCGTAACCAAAAAACTTTGCTCACGCCGGGCTCTAATTGCGAGACGGTTAACTAGTCTATTCATTTTTGTTGTCTTCCAAAGTAACAGACATTCTTCATAACAGTACGTATAAGGTTATCAGATTTTTGAAGAGTTGGTGATTCTATTAGCTGACATAAAATAAGCAAACGTGGGACAATTTTCAAGATTAATAAAATATGTTCTATTCGTTTATTAGATTGAAGTTGATTTTACACTTGTTTTACCAGAAACATCGTTTCTGATTAACAAGAAAGTCAATAATATTGTTAACACATACAGTAACACACGCTTTGAAATTTAGACAAAGCCCGCGACTTTCTGCGCATAGCAGATAATGATCTCAAACTTCACAAGAATATTGGTGAGGGAGCTTTCGGAACTGTCTATAAAGCAACATGGGTGAGCACAAGCCATATAGTTGCTGTCAAACAATTACACATTACTCATATGACTGATACAGCCACAAGAGAGTTCCTAAGAGAACTTTCATTGTTGCACAGTTTGCGCTCTCCATACATCGTCAGTTTCTATGGCGCATGCATGGAGAAAGGCAAGTACGCACTAGTTATGGAGTATATGTCTCTTGGATCAATGCATAAAATGCTGCACGAAGATAAGCTTTCTTTAACATGGAATGAGAGATTATCGATTGCCTTGCAAGCAGCTAAAGGAATCAACTACTTGCATCAATTACAAGAGCCCATTATACATCGAGACATAAAATCGTTGAACTTCTTATTAGAGAGAGCTTATGAAGGATATGCTGTGAAAGTGTGTGACTTTGGTGTAGCTCGAACGCGGGATGAGACAATATGTGAAACCTACGGCAAGCCTAATCTAGTAATTACATTACCATGGAGTGCACCTGAAATACTTCGTTTGGAAAGACATACAGAAAAGAGTGATATCTATAGCTTGGGAATAACTTACTGGGAATTAGCTGCACGCAACAGACCTTATGAGAACCATGCAAACGATAATATTCGTGCATCTGTTCTTGCTGGTAACCGTTTGCCGATGCCAGAAAATACGCCGGCGAACTTTCGTGTAGTTATTAATAAATGTTGGGCGCAAGAACCACAAGATCGACCAAGCAGTTCTGAGATAATCCAAATGGTTGAAAAATGTATGCAAATTCAAGGTAATGTATTCTCAATGTTTTGGTGGGATGTAGGAGGAACTTACCGTAATACATTCTTACATGCACACTCCATAGATACAAATATTGTTGTTTTTTTTCTATTTTAGATGAACCACAGTCACCAGAACTCAATTCTGTTCGGGTTATTCCCAGACTAAAAGCGGAACCCTTAAAATCATCATCTCAAGTGAAGTTGAAAACAACAACGAAATCAGGTATTCCACATTGAATAGCATTGATGTTGTGAGTCTAAAGTATTTTAAAGCAGTCTTCTGCCAAGTTTACAGCGTATAATCCTGTCTTTTTAAGTCACGATGTATTCTTCATGAAGAATGAAGCTTGTT